TAATCTATGGGAAATGATTATGAAAATGAATAAGACTGGAAAGAGATCGTATTGATGCACAAAAACGCATCGTATCATTCAGTGAATTATACTGTTATCATAATAAATAAACATCAAATAAATGTGGGAAGCATGAAAAAATAATGAAAAATGGAAAATTAAGATTTCAGTCATACGAAAATTAAAATAATTTGCATTTGATCGTTCGAAAGATATTTATCTATTTGTATGCGAACAATGAACAATTGAAACCGACTTGAAGTTAGATCGAAACTACAATCGAATCATAAAGAGGACCAACGAAAACAATAAATTTTCATGCTTCATTACAAAATATTGTTTATTTGTAATCACTTCTCATATATTCCAACTGATATTCAAGACGAATTCCAAATCATTTCTCACGTACGATAATGAAAATGCCACTTAAAGCATTATTTTATATTGAATATCGATACACATTCACATCAATAATTCGTATTTATTATCGAATGTTAGTGTAATACTAATCGTAAGCATAATCAAGATATACAAGTTCGTATATTTACGTGATGTAGTGATTCACAGTGATTTATATTGGTGACATAAACAGCTATGATGCACATAGGCTTTTCAATGGGCGCAGATTTGATGGTGAGTTCTTCATTTGGATATGATCCGAGAAATGGACTTTTAGGAGTTCAGAGCAAGTAATAAACATTATGTTTTTCTTGTCTCCAATCGTTACGATGGCTGATCAAAGTATCGAATTCAAAAATACGAAAAAAATTGACTTTTCATGATGAATTTCATGGTNTTCTTATGATTTTAAATTCCTTATAACATCTTGTACAGGAAGATTATCACCGAACTGAAACACTGTAGGTAAAATGACTATGAATTGATTAATGCATATTGTCCTCGAATGAGTACTTACCGAATATGAGCATAATGAATCGCTTGTAAGCATTAAATTTGAGTGACAATGCTATGATAACTTTAAAATGTGAACGAATCACATGCTGGTTTACTATGTCGTATTCATAAATAATAATTTGATGATCGTTGTTACATCTTCGAACGAAAGTTAAGCGAAACATATTTATGTATAGATGATTACGAACATGTATACAGACGACAATCAAACGAGAAAATTGCGATTTGATATTATGTGACTTCAGTGATTTTATTAATGAACTTTCAAATTCTGTTCTTAATTTCCAAGAATTTCATACGACCAATTTTTGATGTGATACGTTCCGAATGATCTGATCAGATTTAAGCAATCACTTTCAGCAATTTTTTTTAACGTTTCAGCATTTGACTTTTATGCAGTCAGTCCATAATTCTTATTGCTCTTCGCAAACAGACTGAAATGTCCATAATCAATTTGTGAAGGATGAAAGCGAACGAGCAATATTTGATTGATCAATGCACACATCGAGTATTAATCAAATCGCGACTATATATATAAATTAACTTTCAACAAATATGATATAAAATAATATAAAGAACCCGCATACAATGAAATAAGCCCGGCAGCCGTACCAAACATATTTATAAATCTTCTTCAATAATCAATCTTCAAATCAACATTCAACAAAACGCCCTTGTTTTCACCCAAACGGTCCGATACGGTAACTGCTGACTGTGTGCTCGATGAACTGGCTCGGCGAGTAGATCGAAACGATACGTTGTATCCGGTTGCAGATCGCTTACGGTAGTCTCGATTAGTCCATCGTAATCGTCCTCATCATCCACACCGTAATCGTCCGCATCTGCCTCATGCTCGTCGTGCTTCTGCTTGTGGTCAGTGTAAGCGCTTGGCTCGTCTGCCTTAGCGTGGTAATCCGCGTGGTGCACGTAGTGTAAATACTCGGATGGTTTTGATTTTAGTGCTTTCCGAGCTTTCTGCTGATGGTATGCAGCCAGGTGTGTGTAGCAACCGACCAAATCATTTTCTGGCATTCGCCCCGAGCACAAATTCGTATGACGATTCACCAACTCCTCCAGATAATGTGCAGTCTCTTGGTGTTTATATAAACAATAGCGAATCTCTGCATCACTTGCTTTCAACCATTGCAACGTTGTGGAGGAACAATTTCGACGCGTTTCTTTGATACTGAACTTAGCATTCAATTATCTATCTTATCGTATCATCAGTTCACATTCTTTAAATCTTGCTTTAATTGCAAATTTCAAAGCATCGTTCAATGTAAAAAAGCTCTTCAAACTGAAATTTTTCTTTCATCAACTTTTACCAAGCATTTAATATTGTTATTTTATGAAAAAATTTTTTGAATCGATCATTCGTTGAGAATTGGAAATGTTGTGAAGGCGTACACATGTATTAAAATTTTTGTAAGTGACAGTTGGAATAAGGAGAGTTTCAAGCTTTTGGCTGTAAAGCTTCAACTGGAATCGATAGTTTTAGTTGCTGGGAATGTTTTTCCTGTTATTTGTTTCTAACTTTCGGAGTATGGCAAGTGAAATTTTTTAGATCAAAAAGATAAACGCCTCTGAGGCATTCATTCTCTTGCATTTATTTCAATATCCATCGATTTCACTCAAGTTCGTGATTTGACAATGAAAAGCTTGTGAACCTTGTATCGTCAGGTAGCTGTGGATAAGGGCTACGTTGAGGATTTGTGCTTGCCCATAATCTGAATAATTTGGGCTTAGAGTCATCGTTGATAATCTGTATGGTGAGATGTCCAGATAGAGCATTCATCACTAGAAATCTTCTGAATCCACTGAATGCATCTGAGCGTCGCAACAGCCGACCATTTCGGTAGATTGCCACTCGAATATAACCATCGCATGCATGTAACACTAGCAATACCTGAACATTAAAATTTTTGCTTGAGAACAGTTGATTCTAAAATTCTCAATTACATCTTAAAATTTCACAATTTGAAATACTTATATGATAGAATTCATAATTTTGTCCGTTACAATTATGAATTAGACTGTTTGCGAGCATTTATAAAGAAAATTAGAGTTGCTCATTTCATTCGGTAGAATCGAAAGAAACACTTTCAAGTGCAATCTGCTTTTTATTTAGAATATGCTCGTAATGTTAAGCTGCACGAGAGTTTGCATGCATGAAGGTTCATCAGTACTTCAGATTGTTTGTTCTTATCGGTGCTTTATAATACCATAAATTTATCGTGAGTATCTATCTCTTCAAAGAGATTTATCATTGGTAGCGCAGATAAAAAATAGCATCATTTGATAATGCATTATTGAGAGATGATCGATTGTGTTCATTAGCCGTGTACTTGAATCATAAATAAATTTCGATTGATGTTTAGAGCAAAAGCTGATAATTCCTATAAAAAAGAATTTATCGTTAGTGCTAAATGAATGAATGCAATTTGCAGAAAATACCTAGCTGTGATGTTTCGAATGTTAAACTTCAATACAATATCACTTCAGTTGTTATTTCAACAAAAAGTGGTTCAGTTTCATGCTTAGAGCGAAGTGATTGTTTTGTGGTTGGTTTTGCTTGTTTGCAGCAGACAGAACAAAAAATCGACATTTTTGACGGCGAAAAACGACATTTGCCGACAGGGCAACAATCAATGAGTGGCCTTGTTGCCTTGTTTATAAGTTATTCAAGATGGTCATAAGGCTCAAGTTATTCCCTTTGGGAGCGTTTCATGGAGAGCATGCATGTTGAGAGAAGAAACTTTATGCTCAATAGCTAACTTCTTGTTGAAGTTATTATACTTTGCACTTTCTCACTTCTTCAAAATTTCGAATGTAATCTCTTTGCAAGAGCAAATGCATTGTTTCGGTGGAACGATCAATTTTCAAGAAATATTATCGCCAGTTCATTGCGAAACGGAGACTGCAGGATCTTGTTTGCATTTCCAACGAAAAAATGTTACCTTTTGCCGGTCAGTACGTCGCGAACGTACAGAAAAATCGAAACTTTGTGTAGCACCTTTGAAACTTGCCAATTTTCCACTTTGCAAATGTGCGTCTAGCAGGCGATTTTCCTTAAGAAAACGCAAATCTCAGCAAATGGCGTATCATAAAAGGTAATACGAAATGCAGAATTGCAGACAAGTTATGCAAGCATAATCACTGGGAAATTACACGGCACTTCTAGTTTAAATTCAAGAATCTGATTAATCTCTTGAGATTGTTTCAGATAATTTGAAGAGAAACAATTAGTACTTTCAAGAAGTTATGGCTTTTCCTGGCCATAAATGTAATTCAAATATTAAATCCTTTTGGTAAATTGATCAGTTCCGTATATTTTTGTATTCCTGATGCTAAAGTGACAAGTGATCAGTAATAAAAGATGAGTTACCTTTTCTTTGCGCTTTGCTTGCCTGTCTTTCTTCTGTTTTTCTTTTGGTACGCTCACGTCTGGAAGTAGGATTTCCAAAGGACGCATTGCACTCGTGCCACCGCTTAAGGCATCACGGAAGAAAACCGTTACATAGTAACGACGATTCGTCTGAAGATTAGCTTCAGTTTTGATAACTGTTAATGGGGAATGCTCATGATATATATCATCCAGCTGCGGTTGTTTACAGTAAAATGTTGAGACAACCCNTGTTTACAGTAAAATGTTGAGACAACCCTTAGAAAGAGCGTTTTTTTTCAAGTTACACACAACTGCGCATACTTACGCAAATATAACGTGAAATGATTCAATTAAGATGTTGATCTGTAGTTAAATCAAATCCTTAAGAAAATTACTGATTTTGGGCAACTAATTCTATAAGCCACTAATAATTTGTGTGCATATGTATATGGCACATGAGACTTTTATTAATAATGTAACATATGTGATATAAGTACATGACTTTTAATTTGCATATGTGCATGACTTTTAATATGGGGTAAAGTATAAGAGTTATTGAGACTTGATAAGTTTGATATTCTTAAAATATTCAGTGCAAAATAATTCGCATGAACTCAGCTTCGAAACCATAGATGCATGGAAGTGTCTAAACTACTTGAACTTACCCGCATATTATCGATATCCAATGTATTCGAGGACTGATTCACGCAGTGAATACTCTCCAAATTCTCACCCAATTCATCACAAATCGTCCAGTCTGGCTGTTTTCTACTTACGACAGCACAGAAACGATAACGATTCAAGCGCAGTCCATTATTATTGCTATTATCGCTATCACTGCTATTGGTGTGGCCATTCTTATTGCTTTTGCCATCGTTGATGTTCATCGCGCTGATTTCTGGTGGGATATTCCACCTTATCCGAACAGTGGCTGCATCGTTGAACTCAGAATGACGACGATATTTGGCCACTTGATAAGAGACTGTCGGATCGGCGGGTAGCGGAGGGTAGTGTTCGTCAAGACGCCATTTCTCGGTGGTTATGAAGACACGAGCGGTGCTATGCATATTCGACGATAAGACCAGAACGAGACTGTCTGAAAATTAATTTCTTGATTCGTGTATGCACTTTATCGAATGTTGAGAACTGCTTCATCTTCGTAGAAGATCTCTCTCACTGAGAAGAATAAATTTTGTGCGCTGACTGATATTGTTGACTGGATGGAAATATGAATGTGAAAGAAAGATGAATATGATATTTGTGATTTCGTTAATAACGAAGGAGCATTTATTTACTAGAGGAATGGATTAATTAATGACATATGTTTCTAAAAAGATATCATCTCCTGGATTCACATTCTGCTCGATAATTCTTCATTAACTGAACTAAGTTGAGTTGAATTCAACTGATCTATTCCATGACAAGATCTTTTTTCCATCTATTAATGTGCATGACTAAACAAACGCTCACAAGAAATTCAACTGTTACTTGAGGCTTTTGACATGAGACCTTCAGGCTCTCACAGTCTTTGATTTGCGCATGATTTTCACGCAAACTTGTTAGGAACTTTCGAATGTCACCGCATGAAGCGTGCACTAAAGCACTTCGAAAGAATGTTGTGATAATTCGCGAAATAGGATAAGTCCCTATGAACTCTCTCGCTGATATCTCAAAAATATCAAATTAAAAACACAAAATGAAACGAATTACATTCAAGAATTGTTCTAATTGTTATGCAATCATTCGAAATTCACAAACCATCAAAAGCTGCCTGCCTGCCTCATCAAAGTGAACAGCAATTAGTGTTGCACTAACAGAGTTCATTGTGTGTTTATGTGAATGCTGTCAACAAGCGAACTGCCTGCTTACCATAATCAAACATTTGCCCATCAATTACCTACCGTACTCCGTCAACACTATCTAACTCCCATTCTTGCCGTGAACGACAACCGTGAAAGAGAGTATTTTTCCACTAATAAACTATTTCAAATCGTACAATTCGAAGTCATCAAATAGCGATGAGAAAAACCAAAAATCGAACCGTCATAATGAATTTGCATCATTTATGGTATTCATCATTTACTCAGTCAAGTATCTATTCAAGTGATATCAACTCATATCTATAAACAACTAATTAAATGCAAATACGTTGTTGTGCATTATGCGGTCTCTTCAATTCATTCGTTTCACATTTTTCAATGGAAACAGAGTTAAATTTGTGATTGAAACAACAAGAAAAATGCAAAAAAAAACTTCACAGTGAACTGAAAATTTTGAGTTTTTTTTTGGCACCACAAGAAGATCAAAAATCTCAAGTGTTGTTGATTTCGAAAATTGATTCGACTTGGTATTTCGTTCATATTTTGTTGATTTTTGCTCCGGAGACTTCTTATGAACACGATGATTTGGGCAACTGAGAACGCTTGTTAAGCAATTCTTAGATGTCTCTCAGTGTTCTTAGATGTCGCTCGTTGAGCACTACTGACCTTAAGAAATCGGAATGCTTGATAAATGAGAACTTTCAACAGATGCAGACATATCAAAATCACTCCAGTCATATCATATTGGGATTCATTCATGAGTTCCCCTTTTTCACTGTTTTCGTTATCCGTGAACAAAAAAATAAACGATTTGATTGAACAGAATTTGCAAATTTTGAAATTTCGAAAGACTAGAAGATTTCAGAAGCTAATCTCAAGCTGTAGAATATTTGCCATTATATGTGAGACCCCCATTCGTCCAATTGCAAGCAAAAGTTGAAGTTGTTGGTGGTTTTTCAAGCACGGTTCAGCATTCGCTAAGAGTAAACAAAATAAGAAAAGTTACAACGAACTAATTCGCATTTCAAGAGAAAAAGAATTTGATGCAAAAATTGTAAATTCAATGAGAAAAAAACGTTATATTGACTGAATATGTGAAGTTTTTGTGTAGGACTTTGAGCATTTTATGGAATGTGGATGGACGAGTAGTGGCATCACTTTACTATCAATTGATTTTGTTATTAATCGCGTCAGCAGAAAACGTTAAAAAAAACTGATGTGTGGTTTGAATTGCTGGAAAGTTGTTGCGTGGAGGGATTATTGACATTATTATTGCATTCCTTCGCTTTAAACTCTTTCAACATCAACAAATCACCAATGGTGATGATAGTAGATACTGACGAACGAACACTCGCATTTGTTACTATCATCTTCAAATGCACATTTCAGTCATTGCAAAATTCACTTTGAATCTTTTTCTTTCGATTCCATATGTTTCTATATGCACTTTTACTTTACAAATGATAACTTTCAATTGTTCGATTCGGTGATGACATCGCATTTATAATCAGAGTCAATTTATCATTGAGATGATCGTTTGTTAGCGGTTTGAATGAATGATTACGACGATAAAAACGTTGCGATTCTATGCAGACGCAATTATCAGCAGATTTTCGAAATACAATTATTGAAAGATTATTATCTTGGAGATTCGTTTGAAGTTGTTTTTGGAGGCTTTCTGAGTTATTTCTTCCAGCTTTTCGAAATTCTTCGAAAGGTGACTTTAAAAAAAATAATGAGTCTATCGAATGTGATTTCAAAGCTTATTGAAACAAAATAATAAGGTTTATTGTGTTGGTTTGAGAAACATTTGCGACTGGCCATTCGGCTTATTTTTTTAGCATTGAGAAGAAAGAGACTATGCAGGAAGTGAATCGTTCACATAAATATTCAAGCGAATGCGGTTGCGGCAAAAAGTTAACGAAGTGAATCGAAATGATTAATCTGCAAACTACATCTCATTCATTCATTCATAATTTTTCAATGAATGCAATCAGTTAAAATCTTGCAATCAGTTAAAGTGCTTCGATTTTGTTTGCTCTTTCAGTTGAAAACAAATAATTGGAAATGAAACTGGCATCTGCTTTTCTCTTCTGTTCTCCTGACTAGCCATCTAACGAAGAAGTCTAGCCATTTTTTGGGCAAAACACAAATTCAAAAAGCTCCATAAACAGCGATCTTTCAAGCTAACAATAAGCATTATTCTGCACTATTGTCGGCTTATGTTAAATGACGAGGATTCAAAAAATTTGCGGTAAAAATTATGATAGAATGATGAGAATCAGTTGTGAGAACTAAATCGGTAATATTGATACTAATCTTAAGATTGATGGGAATATTCAGTGTGTATGCACATACATGATATGATGTAACCGCAATAAGGAAATTTTGAGGTTTCACTGTTTTTTTCCTCGGTAAAATGATTTCAAAAGGCAACTGTTCATTTAAGTGGATTATTGACACGATTAAGAGATCAACTAAGAAATCATACACATTCCATTAAGACTTGATCAACCAGAATTTTTCGCTGGTTTTTATTTCTCGATGAGAAATCAAATCGGTCGACTGACTGCGTTCTCAACTCGGCTCAAATTACGACTGAAGTGTTAAAGTGTCAATCTATCAAAATTACGTAACGCCCAACATAACAACACTAAAAGCAACGCAAAAACGCAATTTAACAATAGCAGTATTATAATAGCTATACGAAATTTTCATTTCTCACTTCTGGGATTTACATACGACCAGCAGATTCGAAGGGATTCGATTCGAATTTTGAGTATGAAACCGAAAGCACGGTGACATGCTCATATGATAACAACAAAAACAACGAAAGAAATGAACCGACTGAACTGACCTGAATCGAGTTGTTGTGTGTAATAAGACATGCGTTTGTCGTCAGCCTCACCAGCCAGTAAACTGAGTGGCTCAGAAAGGGTGTTCGTTTCAGGTTGAATTAACGGTGGAATGCGCATATGAAGAATATGATTGAAGCTTGCAGCTTTCGGATGAATATTCACAAAATGACCATCTGAAAGATATTGAAAGCGGTGTGACTGATCGGACGGTTAAGAAAGATGTACTCGACGACTCGCTCAAGTAGTGCTCATATGAATAAGTATAAGCTGAAGTAAAAATATGCCCAAACTAAGGTTGAACTTCGAAATACATTTTCATTTTCTTCTCAATGTAATCTCCTTTCTAGGTGACACAGCCTTTTGTTGAGCTTAAATACCGATGACTCAGGTTTCTAGAAAGATAGATAGAAGTTTATCGCATTAGAAGTTAATCATTGGAATTAACTGACCAATATCATTGAACGAACGGCTTGTATGAAATAACTGCCAATGAACACTTCCGCCACATGGTGTGACGAACATCCATAAAGGACGGTGTGCATCTGGCATGTTGAATTGTAACCTGAATTTTGCTTGATTTCATGCTAAATTTTGGTAGAGTCCAACTGGATGAGCCATGTTCATCGAATGAATGATTCTTTGATCAAGTGATACGCGGACAATGACCGAATCAGGAAGTTCAAATGATCACTGATTACTCAGAGATCTTTTTTTTTGCTTAATGGCATGCTCAAGATCTGAAAACGGTAGTGATAAAGAAGCCAGTATAAACTTAAGTTTATGGTTCTGATTAAAATTATATACGAAATGATCTGAATGAAATGCGATTTCAAAAACCTTGTCGGCTGTGCTGGATTTAGTTGTATAATGTGTTCGATACCATCTGCGAGAGTTGGCATTTTCATTGAGTTGGCAGGATTCATCGAGTACATAATCATCGATAAAGTTAATTGAATCGGGAACATTTTGTTGGGGTTGACTGAGATTGTGAATTGCTCAAAAGAAGAAACTGAACTGAAATGTTTCACACACTCAAAATTCTTTCAACTAAATTCTTGAAATTTAATCTTAAACTGATAGAAGTTTAAGGCAAATTCAGTGCATCCATATATTCTTCAGCAAACACGTAGAAGAACGATATAATAGGACAGCGATACGATGTGAGAACTGGTAATGAAATCGCATGATATGACATCCTATGAAAACTGTGCATGATTTCCCACATAAAACCGTTTGTACATTTATCAATCTACGGTTTTGGAGGACTTTGCTGTTGAATTAAATTATCATTCATTTTCGAATATGGAATGCCAACTGCTTTTTTGATAGAGTTATACTATCTGTTGAGGCAATTACTTCAAATGGAAATTGCTTTTTGAGTTAATGTTGCTGATTGAAGAAATGCAATTCCGTCGTGATCGAATTATGTGAACGAAAATTTGTTTGGATTTATAATTGAAGTACGCAAACGGGAGAGTTGAGTCGAGAACGTAAATTGAAAAGCGGATAAATTGAATTCAAAGTTGTTCACGGATGTGAATCGTGAAATGTGAAATAAGTGAAAATTGAAGACAAGAATTGTTCGAAGAGAACGGGGAGAATGGATGAACGGCGTTTAATTGAATGAAAACTGAATTTGAATCGAATCAAATCCTCATAAGGATCCAGAAAACAGCTAAAGAACGCAACGGATGTGAACGCTNCTGACCGAGCAGAATAGAGGAAGTGAGCGAATAGTAGAAATAAACTGAACTGATTGCTTTATAGCAGCAGTGCTCGAGTGGCTGCAGCATTTGATTAGCTGTTTATAATGCGATATTTTAGTTATTCATTCACAGTGAAGTTTTGAGAGGAGGAAAAAAGAGACATGTTCTTTTGTTATTTATATTGTAAATTGAGTATTGAATTGACGATACAAGATGAAATGAGAGTGAGCGATAAATCAGCTCATTTCATTGAAAATACTTTCACTATGCGAAAATTTCATTAAGTGAGTCAATTGAAGAATGCTTTTTCGTTCTTGAAACAGCGGAAGCAATCAGTTAGCGAATGTTAGAATAGGTAGTTATAGTTTGACGTTACTGTTGATGGTGATGCCGGTGAATTTGAGTGGATTCATCGGCCGTTTGGTGAGGATATACGAGGAGATGTTTCGATCTCTTTGGAAATCAGATGAATGGAGTTAGTCTCTGGAGATGTGTGCTTGTGTGTGGATAGAGTGAAGCATGNAGGATGTTCACTGCCACTATTATTCTGGATTGTTGACTCATCTCTCGATTCCCAATTCGCAAATATTGAAGAAATTTTTGGTTATATTAAGAAATATGTTGAGCTCATAAACCAATAACAAAACTCATTTCGTTGTGAAGAAGTGATCGAATAAAGCATGAATATGATCTACGTTCGATGTGTGCTGTAGCTGAGCTGGGCGAGGAAATTGTGTGCCTAGGGCCATAGGACTGAAAGCAATTCATCATCGCATCAGTCCATTATATCAAGAGTTGTTGTTTTCGACTTTGGCTTCGGTTCTTTACAACTATATTTGTTGATTCGTCAACTTGATATGTGTGCAGCAATGGATACCGATGACGTGCTAACACACTGGGGTATTGTCCTGAGTTATGCCAGCAAAGGATCGACATGTGAAGCCACTTCACCACTTAATAGAGCAAAAACCATGAGAATGAGAAACCGAATGAAAACTCTGAATTCGAATTCAGTTTTCTTTTTCTTTGGGGGAAGGAGTGAAACTGAAAACTCATCCACGGACTGAAACTTTTTTGAGCAGTTACCTATTGGTAAAAGCTCAAAACTATGATACAATCACTACTTAGGGGAATTTTCTTAGATGCAAATGTAACTTTATGCAAATCATGAGTAGTCGAAAGATACAGTGGGAATGTGGGATCGATAGACAAGATTTTCGCAGAACATAATCAGTAATCGATAATCAATAATACCAAATGTAACCATTGGTTATCTACGACTGATCTCGCAAAATTGGAAAAGTGATGTATATTGTTTAAACTTTTATAAGAAGATCTGTTGGTGATATCTATTAGGAAGATATAGTTCTGTCCGTTAGAAGGCAGTGCTTACGGTCTAATAAATCCTGTTAATATATATAATTATTCATTTTTGATCGTAATAGCATGTGATAACAGCATGAAAACATAACAATAGTAGTATTACNAATAATAATAAGAATAATAGCAATGATAACAACGACAACAATAATACTATCATTATCAATGGATAATGACAGTATGAGATTTCTCAAGAGGAAAGTATGATCTCGAAAACTTCTCAAAGCGGTGAGCCAGAGCCGTAGGCTTGAACTCAAAGAGATGTTCCAACGAGCCTTTATAGAGGAGGAATTCGTAGCAAAATATGAGATAATAGTGGTCGTACGAACGAATCGCTGTCGAATCAGTTATAAGTAGAAGGAAATATTATAAGAAACAAAAGTTATTCTTCAGTCTTTAGTTTATTTCTCTCTTCTTCCTTTGTTTCGTTTGACGCCTCGCCACGCCCCAGTCAGCCAGCCCATCGATAGGTTACGGAGGCTTGCTTAGGTTATAGTTGTGAGACGTTTGTAAGACGTTCAATAGTATTACTTTATGTTTTCATTATGAGCAGAACATAAGCGGAAATTAACGAAACGGATCAAATCAACAGCAGAATGAAATTAGAACAGTTCAAGTTTCTTTATTTCTATTATACACATCATTCAGTTTCACCTGCAATATCAGCCAATTGCACTTCATTGTATATGTCTACAGGTGCGAACGACGTAAATTTTTGCACATCTTAAATCTGTTGACATAGAATCTATGAAAGGCATAGATTCCATGTCTATGAAAC